GCTTACACCCACTCTTGAGCTATTACCCAAGTGTTTAAGCCATTGTCCAAAAGATCTTTCCATTTATGGCATAAAGACACCATTGATATTCTTGAAAAGCAAGTTTTTGTACAAAAGTTTGTCTTGAGCCCATACCTTGTTTGTTTCTGATTTTACTCCACCATAAATCATGGAAATCAGCCCCTCTAAACCAGCAACTTTGGTACTTTATCATAGGACCATGACATAACTTGGTATTTGCAATCCAACCTAGCCATAACTCCATAGTTTGTAAACCAAATCAGCTTGTTCACAAACCTCTTGCCTATAAATAGAAGAAGCATTTGCAAGAGAAAGAGGTCAGAAAAATAGAGAGAAGAACCAAAAATTTTGTTGATAAACCCTCAAAAATATCATATTCACAAAAGCCATAACAGTCTATAAAGCTTACACTCTTGAGTTTTAAAGTCCAAACCTTTGAACCTCTCATACTTTGCAAATTATGTCCAAACATCTAAGCACCTCACATACATTACTTAGAAGTTGTTCAAACTCAAGAACAAGCTTCTATAACATCTCTGTTTTCCAAGCTCAAGAACACTCAAGGCAGCAACTCAAGCTCAAGACAGAAATTCCAGCTTCAAGGTAAGTCTCATTGACTTAAAACCCTTCATTTCAAGCATCATTAGTTGATTCATATTCTAAGATAAAAATGTAATAACCATTCCCCTTGAAGCTAACCTTTGTTTATCTTCCATTCTTGTCATTTATGTGTTGAGAACTAACCCATGTATGTAGCAAAACAAATATATAGTGAAAAAATAACAGTATGAGTCGACACATAGCCTTATGAGTCGACACATCTTAGTGGGAAAACAGGTTATGAGTTGACACATAGCCTTATGAGTCGATACATACTGCTATACATGCCCAAAACAGAAGGAAATAAGGGAGTATGAGTCGACACAAAGCATGTATAAGTCGACACATTCAGGATATGAGTCGACACATACCATTATGCATCGACTTATATTGAGTTGATTTGGCAATACAAGGGCAAGGAAAAGTTATGTGTCGATGCAAAAGGGCATGTGTCAACACATAATGTTTAAAAATGCATTTTTCTTTCATTTTCCTTTATTTTTAAATGTTTCATATATTTTATTCATGGTTATTCAATATGGTTGTAATATTTAAGCTCTTATCCATCCCCATTTGTAAATTGTACCCCATCCCCTTAAACGATGTAATAGCGTATGACTTTATTTTCCGCAATTTACCGCTTTCAAATACAAATGTTAGTAACTAGGGTGTGTATGACAAGATAAAAATCAATCTTAGACAATCCTAATCTAAGACAAAACAATGCATGAAAAATAAACACTTTCACATTTGCACCTCTAGGTTTAACTCCACTCGTTACCTTAAAAAATGGTCATGATATGCATGTGAGACACCTTAGCAAAAACAAACAAATACAAGATCAAAGTCCCTCGATGACGCTACGAATGTTGCCTTACAAATGATCGTGGTCCCTTAAGAGAAATGCTAAGGTATCTCACAACATTGTTATTCATGACTATACGATGACCCAAACCCGTCCCTTTACATCCAAAGATAAGGCTACTTACCAATCAATGGTAAGATATCAATGTCAAAAGAATAGAGAAATGAACAAAAATACTTTTGAGTAGGTAGAACGTTCTTAGTTGCTTGCTCATAATCCATCTTCTAAGACAAACATCCTTTCAAACACACCAAACACTTTCAAAAAACATGAAATATTTTCAAAAAAGTCTAACACTTTGTATGCATTCTTATAGAGACGAGAATCATTAAAAAGTTTGCCTAAAGAAAGGCGCTTTTCAAAAATACTTTCAAAACCCACCACAAACACATTTCAAACAAAGAAATTTCAAAAGTGATCTAGCAAGCAACTAAGAGCCCGTAGATAAACTACAGATGAAAATGGTGCTTACACCTTCCCTTTTCATAACCTACCCCCCAAACTCAAGAAAATATCTCAAAGGTCTTTCTTGTTCTTTTCACCCTTTCCTTATTGGATAAAAGAAAAGTCGGTGGCAACTCTTGTTATCCACAACAATTACGATCAAACCCAAAACATCCAAGTCAGTTCTCCTACCGTATTACAAAACCCATCAAAATTGTTGGACCAGAATTTGAATTCCCCAGAAGCCTGACCGTCTCCGGGATCTCTCATCAAAGAAGTTATTTCTAAATCTGCTCGACAAGCGTCATCACTCATAAGAGTCTTCAGCTTCTTTGGGGGGCCTTGTTGTACCTCCTTCTGAATGGATAAAGCTGAAGTTTGCGGCTCAGCCATGCTCGAAGTGGCATTAGAACCTCCCACCTTCTGTCTCTTCAAGGTCCGAGTTTCTAACTCGGAAAGATCTGACTTGGCCACAAAAGATCCACCTGCCCCTTTCCGGGCAACTTTGGTCTCTAGCACCAATTTCTTCTGCTCGACTATAAAAAGATCTGTAATTTTTTCTACAGAGAAAGAAAAAAGACAGTGTGAGCATCGTCAAAAGTTTTTCACGATCGATAATCAGAAGAAAAAACTATTACCGAGAAAAATTGGGATCTGTTTGGCGATTAGGGGAAATAAATCTTTAACCTTCATCATTCGGAAGGAGTCAAGTATGTTCAAGACTTAGACCTCTAAGTCGCCCAGCTTATCAAAATTAAAACCAGAGATGGGTGAAGGATCCCGAGTCCAGTAGAAAGGGAAGCGTGGGTGTCTATCTAAAGCATACAATACCTGGGGGTATCTCAACCCACACTTCACCTTCAGAAATCGATCTTTGAAACCCTTATAGTTGGAGGTATATACTTGGAGAAAACTCTTTTAGGGAAGACCACTGATTTGGATCCAAGAACACTTCTCGACCATTTTTACCTCAAAAAAGGAAAAGAATGGACCCACTGTAGGGATGATGTTCATCGCCTCACAAACTATTTCAAAGGTTTTTATAAAGCTCCAACTGTTAGGACGAAGCTGAGAAGGAGCGACATTCACGGTCTTCAGTATGTCCACCTCAAAGTTATAAAAAAGGTATACGAACCTTGAAGTCCTCTAGAAGCCCGACATAAAAATAGAAGAATTCCTCATTAGAAACCTTCTGGAGAAGTATACACACCCATTCTCTAAAGACATAGGACTATAGGATAACGTCATCTTCATCCCCGGTCGATGAAATGTTTATCAAAGACCAGAGTTATGCGATCTCTTCATCATCAAATGAGCTATTCTTATAGCCTATAACTTCGAGGTCGAACGAGGCAGATGTTTTCGTCAAAATTTCTACAGAACCCGAGGAGGAAGAATTTGAGTCATAATCACTTAAAGAGGTGAAGGTACAACTGTAAACTTCCCTGATGATTTGATTAAACTCCTCCTGACCTAAAGTACCCTTAACCTCCCACATGGATTGATTCTACAAATCCCTTCTCTCTTCAACATTTGTGGGTTTTACAAGATTTCCCTCATCATCACATTCTCTCATGGTAACCATTCTCTAAAGATAAAAACAAAGGAAAAAAAGTGAAAATAAGGCAAAGGAAGAAAGGGAAAATACCTGGAACTGATGAACACTTGGATAAATGTATACACTTTCTCTGGAGATGTAACGTTTCTAAATGTTGAGATGAAAAAGGAAAAAGGGAAGTATTGTTTTAATAGGGTCCAATGAACAATGCATTTGGGAAAGAAACATCACCTAATAAACGAAGACTTAAGTAAAAGTCATAATTGTACTATGAGAGAGAAGATGCGCGACCTTCCAGTCTATGACACGTACGCAGGGATGAGGTTGGGTTGTAACCCGGTCTATACATCAATACTTTTTTGTGCTTTTCGTGACTGAACACTTCATTCTTGCAGCAAAACTTGAATTTGGGGGGCTTATGTACATACTAGAAATATTAGTCCCGACCGGGTCATGAAGTCGTCTGAGAAGAGAACAAGACTAGTGTCCGACCCATAATAGTGAGGAATACCCGGGATGAGGTGCAACTCGGTTAAGAGTGCTGAACGACCATCATTATCTCCGGGCAGCAACCTATCTGCGCTACCAGCCCGTATAACTCTTGTAACTGGAGTCCATATGCTCATGGTCGATTAACAACTTGGCTCATTAATGACTATAACGGTTGTCGGTGCATTAAGATCATCGTTACGTAGCTTTGAACACCTCCATTCATGGTGACAACAACAATTATACATTTATGAAGCCCAAGAGTCACACCTTGAATGAGGCTCTTAAATGAACAAAAGGAAGACTGTATAAGGGGCTCTCACCAGAGGGATAAGCAAGACATTCATCTTGGGACAATATACATCACTGTCGTAGCTCCCAAATAACCTACAGAAATCTACCATTTGCAGCTTTATCTATTCTTATAGGAAAACTACTCGTTGATTGTTCCTACACAAGAACAAAAACTATCAATTATTATAGTTAAAAAAATCATAATACACAAGATCAATTGGCGACTCCCTTTAAAAATTATACATATGGGCCAATTGGACTGACAATACTTATTATAGATGTCAACCTAATTGACGCTTCCTCTTAAAGTTTATATACAGTTGACAATTGATCTGACACTAATAATCACATTGCTTCTTATTTTTTTAAAAAGGAAATGTATTTAAAAATTATTTAAATTGTAGAGTATTTTACGATTTTAAAAAAAAAGAGTTATATGAATAAAAAATTCAAGAGTAATTACCTTTTATTTCATTCTTTTAAAAGAAATAGTGAACATAATTACTAAACTTTTATAATTATATATAAAATAAATTATATAAAATATATGTCACCCATTTTAATAATATATGGACGGTGAAACACAAAGAGACCCTGACTGACCCACCGTCCCACGAGTTTATTTTCCATGTTTGGTTTCATTCATTCTTTATAAATATTTGGAATTTTACGGTCAAACTTATCATTTACATTTTCAACTCAACTCAAGTTCAGCTTTCTACCCTTACAATGGCATCATCGTCTTCTTCTTCAACCACATTCTGCACCCTCAAGTTTCACTCCAAAACACCAATCAACAGTAACAAAACTTTCTCTCTTCCACGGATTCTTCACATGAAGCAGCAAGAGGAAGACAACAACAACCCCACCCATCAAATCAATCGCAGGTATTCTTTCTCTTTCACTTCTCCCTAATCATTTTTTCATCACCCAAATCTCTCACACTTCGATTTTTTATCATTTCAAGACAACTCATATTGAGAAGCAGCGAATTAGCAACCATTGGTGCCATCTTCAATTTAAGGTATCAAGATTTCATATATTATTGTTTAATAGTTTCTTACTTTGAGATTATAGGAAATTTGATAAGATAGGTTTTATGAAAAAGTTATGTACTTTGAGTTTTTTTTATGTGATATACTATAGTTGTTAAATAAGCACTTAAGTAAATTATTTTGATGCAGTGGAAAAAAGCCTGAATATCTTGGAGTTCAGAAAAGTTCATCAGCATTGGCTCTATGTCCAGCAACTAAGAATTGTGTGTCAACCTCTGAGAATGTCGGTGATCTCATCCACTATGCTCCTCCTTGGTAAAGTTTTCTTCTTTTTCTCATGTTAATTTTTTACCTTAGTTTTTGAGATTATATGATTTAGTTACAATTTCTGGGTTTCATTGAATTGAAGGTTTAGCATGATGTTAAATGGTTTTAAATATGGATCAATTCATATAGAATTTTGCTCTGATTTTAAATTAGTCTTCTGCTAGGGAAGGCGGGATTGAACCCCTTAGATTATTAATATGGTCTTTGTGTGAATCACATTACAATAGTTTACTTCAAATAATTTATCATGTTTTGAACCAACCAATGTTGAATTGGGTTGTTCAGTGTTGAATGTTGACTTTAATGTTGGTCCTACCAAAACTTAAACTCTATTGAACAATTGTGATGTCACTTTATATAAATTTTATAATAATTGTTCAGGAACTATAACCCTGAAGGCAGGAAAAGTCCTGTGAGCAGAGAAGAGGCAATGGAGGAACTAATAGAAGTGGTAATAAATCTAATTCAAACCACAAGCTTTATTATGAAGCACAGACTCCGATACAGACACAGACACTCCAACACCGATAATGTAAAAAATATATGACACCGACACAACTACATATATGATAGTTATATATATATAGCTATAGAAACAAAACAATCTAGCTCAAAAGGTGATTGTCCTTCTCAACTAGAGTGTTTGTTTCTATAACTATATACAACTATTTTTCAAGAACCAAATTTGACTTTAAGTATTCAATTTTAGGGGCTAATAAGATTTTGTTGCTATGTTAATCGATAATTGTTGGATCGTTAGAAATATTAGACACTCTAAACACTTTTCAAGTCACAAACATGATTGATTAAGATATATTGACAGTATCAGACCTCTTACAGGGATGGTGCATGAAAATTAAACTCTTCAAAACTTTAGTTAGGTGTTTGTCGATTTCTTAGTTCTAGGAATTAATTTGGGGATTCACTCGACAATTATTATAACTGAATTAGTACAACATATTATCTGCACTTCACCATTGTGGATAACTTTACAGATAGAATCAACAAGACCGGACAAGTTTACACCAAGAATAGTTGAAAGGAAAGAAGACTATGTTCGAGTTGAGTATCAAAGCTCAATCTTAGGGGTATGTATGTCTGCGAAACTCACATCTAAGGAAAATGAAACTCATCATGAAATAAAATCATTATAATCATTTAATACATTTATATGATTTCAAGAACATACTCTAAACCACCCTTCCCCCACATTACCAATGTAAACAGTTTGTAGACGACGTTGAGTTTTGGTTCCCACCGGGTAAAGGTCCGATCGTAGAGTATCGATCTGCATCAAGGTTGGGAAACTTTGATTTTGATGTTAATAGAAAAAGAATCAAGGTAAAACCCTGTGACAAATATGTGCTTTCTGTATAGCTATGTTAGATAGAGTGATTCTTGGTTTTAAGATGATGATTCATATTTATGTGAAGAAAAATGATCTGGTTTGTTGACAGGCACTAAGACAAGAGTTGGAAAAGAAAGGATGGGCATCTCAAGATACTATATGAGAAAATTTATGTAAGATTCATATCCATTTAATCAAGTATAGCCAATTGAAATATTGTTGCTAATGTTTTGTAACCTGCAATAATTTTTTGTTAGACTACAAAGCTTACATAATCAATGTAAGAAAATGTCTCTACAATATATTATTTTTGACTTTGTTCTAAATTTTCACTTTTTTTCGTCATTCAATTTTTAAGTTATCCGAGCTAGTGAGAGACGTGATAAGTTTTTGTTGTATCAAAACTCTTTAATGATTAGGGGTATTAAAAAACGAATCAATCCAATAAAAAAATTGCTAATTGAACTAAATCAAAATGAAACTGCAAAAAAATTGTATTTGATTTAAATGTATTTGTGATATTTTCTAACAAAATTGCATGATTCAATTTAATTTGTGGTTTGTATTTCACTATCCAAACCAACCGTCTTAAGTTACAAAATCTTAATGACCTTATATATATTTTTAATTCTTTAAAGAATTTAACAACTATCTTATTCATATTTATTTTAATTTATATATCAATAATAAATTAAAATATCATTATTTATAAATTTACAATTATTTTTATTTAAAATAAAATTGTGTTATATTAATTTTTATTTTGATTTTTAATTTGTTGATGTTGATAAGTACAAAATTATAAATTAGTGAACCGTTAGTCAAAGTCAAAAAAAGGCTCTAGGTAACATTTGACTTATTGAAATGGCTAGCTGGAGTCCAGATGACAAGCGTAAGGAAAGACAATCTCAATCTTCTTTAAAACCAAATAAAAGGATAGGCCATTTTTATTTTATCCAAGTTGATACTCAATCTTCTCCCAAAACCAAACGAAAGGTGAAGAACGACATTTGCATAGGCGATTTCTAACGAAGGTTATAAGCAGGTAAAATCTAGTTCTTAGAGAATGTCCTATAATGCTTGAAAACCCTTTTGAAGAATTGAAAATTCGATTGTGGTGGATATTGTTTTGGTCCACAGAATCATGCAATTGGATTTAAAAGAACGAACCCCTTTTGAAGAATTTGAAGTTGGGGGTTCACAAAGTGAGAAGATTGTAGAGAGATGGGTGATTCAGTATGAAAGCGGAAAAACTAGGGATTGTTCTAATTCTTGAAGTTCAAGCAGTATAAGAAGGTCAAGTAACACTTTTTTGCAAAATTTGTATAAGAAAGCTACTTTACTTATAAGGTCTTTGAATGCTACAGTTAGGATTTTACTTATAAGATTTTTAAGGAACTTAATTCTTCTGTAAATGTTTGTGCTTTTGTTCTTGCGCATCGTGTGTTTACTTTTTTTGAACCGTTTACCTCTAAACAAGAGTATGAAATGTTGAAATTTGTGTTTACCCCTGTGAATATTTTGTTTGGTAGGCTATGTCTTTCGGTAATGTATTGTCAGTGTGTTTCTGATGTGAGTTCTGAATCATCGTCAACTACTTTATCTCCACGAGTTATAACTGATTATGCCGGTAGTCTTATGACAGAACAGTTAATGAGCTTTTCGTCGCTATCGGTGGTACCGATTAGAATGCCATTACATGGCTCTCCATCATCATTGCCGTTTTCGAGGAGACATAGCTGGAGATTTGAAAACGATGATGGAAACTGATCTTACCGGTTGATCAGAACCTGCAAGCTAGCCGGAGGATGATCTTTGATGGACTGGAAAGTTGAGGAAAAAAGGGGGTTGTGCCTACAAGGAACTCCGATGGTCAAGTGTGGCAGCAAAGAGATACAAGCAAAATATTAGGATTTTAGAGATGGATATTGAATACCTGGCCTTCACAAGTGTGAGGGTTTATATAATACCCCTGGCGCGTAGCCATTGGTTCTTATTTTTGGGCCTAAATATTTGGGTATGTGAAAATAGGAACTACCAGGACTCGGTCAAACCGGACAGAGTGCCCGCAACTAGCAGTTGGTCTCAAGGAGGAGGTAGGTTACAGACGATGATCTGGTCGGTTCCTGGTTGTCTGGCCGACTTAATGTCGGGAAAACGAAGTAGTGTCTGTCAGACGCCGCTGGTTTCACTGGTCTAGGAGGGTAATTGACCGATGGCGTCGGAGGGTGGGGGACTTTGGACCATGGTTGTACGGGTCATTCTGAAGCTGGAGTATAGACTGGGCTCACTCTAGTGTTGGGCCAGTCTAGAACAACAGCCCTCTAAGTCATTGCTTTTGGGCAAAAGAGTGATGACTTTAGCACCTGCTCGCAGAACGGGGGTGCTCCTTGCGGGGAGTATGTGTGACGCCCGTGGTGTCCTTCTCGCGGGGAGATGAACAATTGAGTGGTTGAACTTTGAAAGTTCAAGAGGTAGCGTGTCTTGGGCAATGTGTTATCGTAATGGCACAATGATGGCAGGCATAAGGACTAGGGTGCAATGATGACAACCATACGGCTCCCTAAGCGCATGCCTCTTACGTGCGGACAAGTTTAGCTATAAATAGGAGATGAGTAGTGTATTTTATATTTTTCGCTTCTTCAATCTTCCTGCTCGTTGCTGCTCGTCTGTCGACCAATGAAGTTTCTTGCTTCTTTTAACTGGTAAGCTTTCAAATTTCTCTTGTATTTAGGTTATTTAGCCTTTGTTACAGCCTAGAGTTTAAATATTTCTTCTTAGAAATGCATGCAGTTAGGTTTAGGGTATTGTTTGTTAGGAAATTCTTGGGGAGTGTTGGTTGCAGGCAGTGGTTCTGTGTGTTAGAATCGCCGGAGCCGCCGTAGATCCTTCCTAGGTGAGTCTGGAATCGTTCACGACACACTGTAGATGATCTTTATCGATGACTTAGATTATTTTGTTAACCTTGGCTCGTTATGTCGGGGGAAAATATCGCATATTTAGATGCCTAAGTGACGGCTCTGGTCGGGGATATGATCCTTGTTTATCAGCACCCTTTCACTTGATCAGTGGTGGAAGGGTGGTTTTGACATTGATGTCGAACTCACCTCTATCCTCTGTTTTTCAAGTATTATGGCTGATAATATTGGAGATAACCTTTCGGGCGAGCATGTCGGATCTTCTCAGAGTTCCACAGACGAGACCCATAGTGAGTCGAGCTCCTCGAGGGTGTCAAGGCCCGAATCGAATCGGTCCGACCAATATATTATGGAGGAGGACGCTGAGAGCACCCCCGCTGACCAGGGCGGCCTATTTGCTCGTGAGAACGACGATGATCTGAGGACTTGGGCCGCAACAGACCCATGGGATCATGAGTCCTATTTTGTCAAGAATCTGGATGACGTTTCACTATGGTGGACTCGTATGCGGATGGCAACGACCACCAAAAGGACTGGTCGATATGGATTCTTGGAAGGAGTAGTCGGATCTTCTCATGGTATGATAAGTGGCAGATCCCAATGTATGATATCCTGTTATCGGGAGATAGGCCTTCGTCTGCCCTTTTAAGACTTCCAGGTGGCCATTTTTAGGCATCTTCGATTGGTCCCCCCTGAACTGCACCCGAACAGGATTGCCTTCATGCAGACGTTCTAGATAGTGTGTGACTACTTGAAGATAGGGGCCACCATCCCTTTATTCTTCTATTGTTTCTATCTTTAGAGGAGCAAGGTTAACAACCTGCATGGATGGGTCACTTTGAAATAGGCCAACAGGAAGTTGTTCAAGGCTTACCTGGAGTCTGTAAGATTTTTTAAGGACAAGTACATGCTCGTGCAGCCTATCTCGGGGAGGGCCATGCTGAATGTTTTTTGGCTCACCCCGACGTATGACAAGGAAAGGGCTCCCATCCTGAATGAGCAGGGGGAGCACCAAAACAAGTTGGTCCGCAAGTTCCCTTTCTAGTGGACCAGAAAGCATTTTGACATGAAGTTTGATACTTATGTGTGGAAGGAGGGGCAACTCGGTGTGTAATGTAACACCCCAAATTTAATTAATTAGTTAATTAAATTATTGAAGGATTTAATTATTGAATTTGGACGAAGTTGGGAATTATTATATTTTGTCGGTACTATTTTAATAAGCGTGTTTGGATTATTAAGTTTAAAGTCTGGTTATTTAGTCGGTTTAATCAGAGGAATAATATTAGGAATAATATTATTTAATTATTGGACTTTGATTTAATTAAGTTGGTTTAGGTTGTTGCGTGGTAAATAGAATTATTGGAGGTGCAAATAAGTGGCCCAATAAGACAATATAGAGGAGTATCATTATTTGATTTATTGGATTAAAAAGAAAATATAAGGAATTAGGTTGGGAAAGGAAGAAAAAAGAAGGAGGTTGCCGTACGTGGGAAAAAGAAGAGGAACAAGGTTTGGGAATTAGCCGCCGGAGGTGAATTGCAAATCGAAAAGCCGAATCGAAATTCAATCGGAAGATTATAGAGCGACCTTCAATCCAAGGTAAGGGTGGGGTTTCGACTCTATAATTGGGTTCATGATGATTGGTATGTGGGTTTAGAGATGATTGTTGTCTTGTTCTTGAATTGAAAGTATATGATTGTTATATAATGAGAATTGATGAATTCTAGATGAATAATGATGTCCCGATGTCGTTTAATCGATGTAGAGTCATAGGATAACTGTAAGTAATGATTTATCAAGATTATATTAAGTTTGTTGGGCTAAATGTGTGAATCTCGTAGTGAGATGCAGGGAAGAAAATCGCAGAATTATGCAGGAATGATCAGGTGCTGCTGTATTAGAACAATAAATTAAATTGGGATAGAGTTAGTCGTACTGTTTTTAGTTAAGTTGATATCAGGCTAAGAATCAAAATAGTAGGATTAGTAAAAAGTAGAAGTTCTGATGGTAGAAGCTGTGTTGGATTAGTAAAAAGTAGAAGTTCTGATGGTAGAAGCTGTGTTGGTTAGAAGTTGCGTTGGATTAGTAAAAAGTAGAAGTTCTGTTGGTAGAAGCTGTGTTGGTTAGAAGTTGTGTTGGTCGGAAGTTGTGTTGGTCAGAAGTTGTGTTGGTTAGAAGTTGTGTTGGTCAGAAGTTGTGTTGGTCAGAAGTTGTGTTGTCAGAAGTTGTGTTGTCAGAAGTTATGTTGGTCAGAAGTTGTGTTGGTCAGAAGTTGCATTGTCAGAAGTTGTGTTGTCAGAAGTTGTGTTGGTCAGAAGGTGTGTTAGTCAGAAGTTGTGTTGTCAGAAGTTGTATTGTCAGAAGTTGTGTTGGTGAGAAGCTGTGTTGGTTAGAAGTTGTGTTGTCAGAAGTTGTGTTGGTCAGAAGTTGTGTTGGTCGTTGCGTTGTTTTTGTACAGAATGATGAAGGTTATATGCTTAGAGGCTGCTGTTTGAACTATAACAGTAGGAATAGTGACAGTAATGATGTAAGAGTTACCGAATAGCAGTATGAATTACTGTGGAATTAATATACATCTGAGTTGTTAGTGAGAAGTTATTAATGATGTTGTGTTGATGATTTATAATAAATAAATGATGTTTGATGAATTATTATGATGATATGAGATGTTGATGAAGAGACGTTGAGATGCTTTTGAGATGTTGTTAATTTTAGATACTTTTGAGATGTTGTTAATTTGAGATGTTGTTAACTTGGGTGTTGTTATTACATTCATGGTTGTGTCGCATACATTGCATTTTTGAGATGGAGCTTATGCTCGTTGAGATGGCCTGTATTGACGAATTTTGAGATGAGGGATTATGCCCTGTTGATGCCTCTATTAATTGGCAAATTTTTGAGATGAGAGTTCTTCTCCAATGGTACCACATGCATTTGCATAGTATTGAGTCGCATTATATGATTGCATAAAGAAGTGTATTTTGATTGTTGATGAATGTCTATATACGTTGTAATTATTGTTGATTATGAGATGAAAAGTGGTGATGTTATTGATCAAATTTAATATATTAATTATCATGCGCTTTATTATATTGTTAGATATCTCACCCTCCTGTTTGAATGTTGCCCTTATGTTGGTAACGTGCAGGTAATCGAGAGTGAAGGCTGTATACCTTTGGTAGTTCGAGTCAGTGTCATTGCTCTGATATGTAACACTCGGGGGGATGAACGCTTGCCGTTTTTTATTGTTGATTTTCAGTTGTTGAACTTTAAGTTGATTATTATTAAATATGGGTTGTTTTGAAGTTGTTGTATTGTTGTTAAAGATGTTATTAAGAATTCCGCTGCGTAGATGTTGAGTTATTTAATTAAAGATGTTATGATGATGGTTCATCCGATGTTTTGAAAGTGTTACGTATCCACGATGAATGCAATGAATTTGATAGAAGAATTTGTGACGTCCCGATTCGTTTGCATGAATGATTTTTATAACTCTGATTTATTTTATATAATTGCTTGGGGTAGAATTGGGGTGTTACATGTAACACCCCATTTCTACCCAACGAGTTAAATAAAATCAGAGTTATAAAAAAATTTCCAACAAACAAATGGAATGCTACACTTTCAACTTAAAACTACGACAATCAATCATCTATAGTTCAGATACATAACACATAAGCTTCGGATGAACCGATAACAACCTGCTTAGTCTTTAAAAAAATAAAAACAACTTTCATTACTATGCAGCGGATTCACAAAATTTAACTGAAAACACCATAACATCTTATCCAACTCAAAACAATTCTAAGACAACAAGTCTTTTAATGAAAACAACTTAAAAATTCAGCAACATAATGAAAATCAACGATAAGGAAAACATGCGTTCATCCCCCCGAGTGCTACGTATCAGAGCAACAACACCGACTCGAACTAACGAGGGTAACAACTATCCTTCTTAATTACCTGCACGTTGCCAACAGAGGGCAACATTAAAATAGAAGGGGTGAGATATCAAACTATATAATCGGATATACAAAAAATAATATATTAGTATTATATCATACAATTCACCACATCACAACTTTTTATCAACATTCAACATAATTAATTCATCCACACGACAACTCAAAATGCAACATGAAATGCGGCTCGTCTTTATGCACATGCATGTAGTACCAATGGTGCAGAACTCCCAACTTATAAATCTACCAATAAATAGAGGCATCAACAAGGCATAAACCTTCAACTTTATATTTGCCAATCTAGACCAACTTGACGAGCATCAGCTTCAACATGATATGCTATGTATGCATTAACGACATGAACGTAATAACAACAACAACAATAATAATTCAACTTAATTCAACATTGGCCATAAGCCTGCAACTTAATATTTTGCCCATAAATAGAGGCAATGAATTCACCTGCTAATTCACATTTTTCAACAAAAACACCACCCAACAGATCAACCAAAAATTACTACAATAAACCGCATAATTATTTGGACTATTTTGGCTAAAATCGGTTAATTAATTATCGGCCAAAAATTCTATTATTTCTACTTTATAAATCCTACAAAATTATTTATTAAAGATATTAAATCATTATTATTAAATATTTTGTATTTGTAAATCGGAACATAGTAGCTACAATATACAAAACAAGTGCTTTTAAATACTACTTTATATATTCGCTACAGTAAGCAAGACAATTCTCCCTAGTACTACTTCATTCTTTTATCGCTACAGTATGCAATTAATTCTCCTAAATACCATTTCATCTTATGTTACAACATTGCAAGCATATAACTTCTAAGTGCTACTTCTTTATTACTAGCACTACAGTATTGCAAAATAAATACCTTTAATTGCTACTTAATTCTAGCGCTACATAAGCAATTAATTCTCCTAGATACCATTTCATCTTACGCTACAACATTGCAAGCATATGTCCTAAGCACTACTTCATTCCTGCACTACAATATCAAGTTAAATGCAATTAAATACTACTTCCTAAATATATCGCTACAATAGCGAGCTACTTCCCCCTAGTACTACTTCCTTCCTGCGCTACAGCAAGCAAGTTAAATGCCATTTTAGATGTTATTTCAAAATTGCACTACAGTAGCAAGCCATATATCCCAAACACCACTTCATTCTTACGCCACTGTATTGCAAACATTTATCCTAAATGCTACTTCCTTATTATATTGCTACAGTAACAAACATTGAATTTTTTAAAGAAAATACTAAGGCACTTATTTATATGTATATCTAGTTATATTGGGTCCTAAATCATCTCTCAATTTCATCAATATATCAATTTCAAACACAATTAGAAATAATTTTTATAAACCAAATTCACATACTATTAATCATACACCCTATTATAGAGTCAGAACCCCATCCTTACCTTGGATTAAGAGCAGCTCTAAGAGACTTTAACCGATTTTTTTGGGGAATTTGGCACTAGAAGCAATTTTCCTCTTGTTCTTCTTCTCCTCTCACAAACCCTATTTTCCTCTTTGTTCTTTTCTTTCCTGATAACAAAACTCTCTCTTATTCCTCTAATTCTATTTCCATATAATAGTCATTTTTTATTATTTAATCTTAAAAAACTCAAATGGGCCTAAATGACATACCCCTC